CAGCACAGAAGGAAAGGTATACCCGGGTTCTTGTCAGTGGGTACATGTCACTGAGATCCCTCGCGAATCGGTAAACAAAGCAGAGAAGTCGGAATGCGTGAACTCTGTTGTTCTTCTTTGTTTCCCCTTTTCCAGCCAGTACAGGAGTCTAACTCATGGGATGCTGCAACCAGCATTCAGGAGAGGTCTCCTCCCCTGGAAATGCCCTTGCAAACAAGAAAACATTAAATGGCCACTAAAACATATGATTTGTTAAAATGGAGAGAATAACACAAAATATCATAAAGTGTTTTGCAAATAGACCTTTCCCTAAGCAATAAAAAAGACAGAAGCTGTCTGTGGTCCCACATCCCTACAGTGGTGTGTGTGTGTGTGTGTGTGTGTGTGTGTGTGTGTTACCTGTTAACTCCCAACTATAATCTTTGAGCTCTTTAACCTATTTTCTCCTCTAAATCCAAAGTTTCAAGGCAGGTGGGGGAGGGGTAAAAGTCTCAGGGCAGAGTTCTGATAGATCCTTCTGGGAGTCAAAAGCAGACTGCACTACTGTGATTGGTAGATCAAGAGCAAGTCCCACCCCCTGCTGCCAGAGTCCTAAGAGACCAAGACTAGGTATATCAGAAGTCACATGATTGGAAAAGAAGCCAATATTTTTATTGTCTTATTTTTCTACTTTTTAAGATTATAATACAATTACATCATTTCCCCCTCCCTTTCCTTTCTCCAACCCCTCCCATGTACCCCCCTGACCTCCCTCAAATTCATGGTCCCTTTAATAGTTGTGATATATATATATATGTACATATATATACATATATGTGCTGTTATATGTATGTGTGTATAACCACACTATGAGTTCCGCTTGTGTGTACAGGTTCCTCAGCATTCCTTAGTTGGTAAGCCAATATTTTAAAACAGAAGTTGTGGGTTACTATTAATAACAGTAATAATAACTAATAATAATAACTGTCTTATTCAAAACACTGGAAAGGTAGCCCACACTGGCATCTGTGTGCTGATTAGAAAAAGTCAGGTCTGGTACTTAAGGCGAAGGAATAAGGAGCGCCTTGTGACAAACCAGCGTCCTCCTTCATCTCCCTCTGGCTCCCTCTACTTCAAAGGATATTTTGGTGAAGGAAGATGGCCCAAGCCTGTAAGGCCAGAGCTTGGGACCTGGAAAAACTGTGAGTTCAAGAACAACCTGAGCTAGAAAACAGAAACCCTGTCTAAATAATTTTTTTAATTTTAAATAAATAATTTCTAATTTAAAAATAAATTGTTTTCTTGCATTCACGTCCCTAGCAACAGGACGCTGGGTAGTCAGACTCTCAAGCCCCTCAGAGCCTACAGACAGGTTCTTTGAGAAGCCAGCCGGACCCCACCCCTCCCTGAAGCCTCATTCCATTGGGCTTTCTCTGGTTCATGCCAGCCTCAATTAAACCGGGGCCTGAGGGCCAGTCCTGAGGCCAGCAGCGTGCTGTTCCAGGGCTACCTCTTGCCAAAGTGTTATCGTCAGGCCTCAGCTCCCAGACGCTTCGCTCCGTGAAGACTGTTGAGTCTTGTCTTAGGCTGGCTCTGACACTCCGGGCCCCTGGCCTGCCTGGGGGCTTCTGATCAACGGCACTTTGTCAGCTCCCGCACACCTTTAAGAAGCCTGAATGGAGATGTCTGCAGAAATCCTGGCCTGGGCAGGCCCTCTGCGTGTTTGGGTACAGAAATATGCAGGCTGAGCTGTGGTCATGGCCGCCTGAGCCTCTGAGCTGCAATCAACATCAACCCCACAAGGACACAATATTTTCTCCCGATTTACAACACGTTCATTTATTTTGGAATTTCTGTGCCAGCTGAGGCTACAGGGCGGTGACAGTGGAAAAGTTGTCCTGAGGCCAAGCAAAAGAGTGTTGCAACTGTGCCCCTGTTCTGCAAAGGGAGTTCGAAAGCAGTAAAGCCCCAGCAGGGCTAAGAGGATGGCCGGCCACACTCAGCAGCCTGCGGGCCATTAGGGGGCCGGCGGGGGAAACAACTCATTTGGAGGTCCACTCTTGCTTCTGTAACCATCTGCAAGTAGGCCACTGGAACCCTGGCCTCCGAGAAGTTTCCCTGTTGCTAGAAGATCTGTTTTGCTTCTCAAAATTCCCTGGGGAGTCAGAGCACATGAGACACACACACACACACACACACACACACACACACACACTTCCACCACCCAAAAACAACTTTTATTCAAAATCACTGCGGAGAAGTAAAAATGATGCATTACAGAATGAGAAAATCTCAAAATTTTCACACAACTGTTGGCTTGCAGAGTGACCATTGGCAAAAGTCTTACCTCTGTCTAAGTTCTTTTATTTTATTTTACTTTTTAAGTAGTGTGTGTGTGTGTGTATGTGTGTGTGTGTGTAGCTGTGCATCTGTAATGAGACCAGAAGACTCCGGAGTAGTGTCCTGCTCTGTCATTCTTGGCGTTATTCCCTTGAGGTGGGGTTCCTCACTGAACGTGGTGGGAGGGGCAGGATGCTGGGAATGGGAACGCAGGTCCTCATGTTTGGATGGCAGTGTTCTTGCCCAGTGAGCCATCTCCCTTGCCTGGGTTTCCATGTCATGTATCTTCATTGTTGTAGTTTGGTTTGGGAATTTTAAGAAAATCTCTCATGTACCCATGGCTGGCCTTTGTTGAGATCCTTTGTTGATCCTCCTGCTTCGACCTCCAAGTGCTGAAATTTCAAGTGTGCATTAACTACGCCTGGCTCCACAACTGCTCTTCAGCAGAGACAGTAGCTAACTGGCAAAGAGGCGTTAGAAAGGGGTGATTGATGGAAGTGCATAGTACAGCGCCCGACTCTCTTTGGAACTTAGTATTGGAGAGCCCCAATTCCTCTGTCTTCCTGGTTTTCTTATTGGTGCACTTATTTCCCGTGAGGGTGTCAGGTATGCCTGTAAAACAGCGCTAGGTGTTTCCCTGGGTGGTGATGCTTCCAGAGAGGGACTCGGTGTGCCCCTGGAACACAATGTCCAGATTCTTTGTGTCTGAGCAAAAACCAGAACAACAGCAATGACACTATGGCTTTGCGAATTGTAGAAAGAAAACCATGGGCTACCCTCTCTGGGCAGAAATGGGCTCCAGCAAAAGACAGAGCTCAAAAGCCATCCTGCCCCCTGCTCCTGGGACTTCTCTTTATAAAAAGAAAGGAAGGATGCCTGAAAGAGTGAGTCTATCATTGCCTGTTGTAAATGATTGATTTCGTTTACTGGAAGGAGGCAGCATAATTGGTGGTGGAGGAGCAGTCCAAGTGAAAATCTTTCCACATTGCTGGGGCCCAGAGTTCATCAGAGTCACTGGTGTTTGATCCAACCTTCTTCAGGAGGTCTAGTCATTGGGTTCCTTGAGGCTGAGAACTTGTCCAGTTGGAAAGGTGCTCCATGAAGGAAAACAAGGAGTAGAGAGGGAAGGAAGGCCGCCATCAAGAAGATCACAGGCAGACCCATGGAGAGACCAACCCAGTCCAGACACAGGAAAGGCACCTGCAAGTACGATCCACGGTTGGTCTCCACTGCCACCTAGAGCTTACTCCCCCAAGAAGGACACCTCAATTTGGGCAAATGAGGAGGAACCCCAGTTGTATCCTTCCCATCCTGCTGAGCAGAGGACAGGTGGCTGCCCGGGTAAAGGGATAACTCAAGGTTGCAGCTGCTGAGAAGCAAGGTAGGTTAAGAACCGAGTCTGGCTGACTGCTGTCTGGTTGCCTTATAGAACGGTGGATTTTAGCAAGAGGGGGCTAATCAGTAAATTCTCACTTTACATCCCATAAAGCTGCCCACATATGCAGCTATTAAGCCATCTGATCTACAGGAAGTACAGTGTCTGGTTTGGTCACATTTCCATTATCCTATCCAACCACAATGTACCTGATGTTTCTTTTTAAAGAAACCAATATGGGTAAATTCATAAGTCAATCTGACTAAGCCAGAAAATGCCCATATATATAGCTTGGTAGATCACTTTTTCTTGCTAGAACTATACAGCTTTTTCTGGAAAAGATTAGCATTTGAATTAGTAGACTAAGTAGCAAGCTCTGCTTTAAATATTGTGGGTGGGAATCGTTCAATCCATTGAGGATATAAACCTAAGTCCCACCCATAAAAGTAAGGCAGAGAAACGTCAGATTTGTTCTCTTTGCTTGAACTGAGATGTCCATCTTCTCTGGCCTTGGTCACCAGCACATCTGACTCACAAACTTTCAGACTGAGATTTATGTCATCATGCACTCCCTAGTTCTCAAGCCTTTGGACTCGGGATGAACAGCACCATCATATTTCTAGGTTCTGCATCTTGCAGATGATAAATTTCAGGACTTCTTGGTCTCCGTAACTACACAAGCATCCTTCAAGAAAGAGCTCTGGGATGGTTCTTCTCTGCCAGAGGACCCTACAATGGGAATTGTCGCCACTCAATTGGAAAATCTAACTACCTTGGCAGATCCCAGTGTGGCAGAGGCCAAGTGTAACCCCGCTGCTGAAGGCAAGATATTACTTTAAGAGACAACAGAATCCAAGTGGCAATCCAAAGAGGATGGCTCATGCAGACCATCTGCGTGACCTGGTAAATCCCAATACTTTTAGAATCCCATTAAATTCCCACTACTTTGGTGCACAGAGACCTCTAAGTCAAGCCTAACTCATCCCATAAAATAGAAATTCAAGCTAGGTGTGGTCATACACACACACACCTGTGTTTCCAGCATTTTTGGAGGTAGAGGCAGAAATGATTCAAGGCTAGCTTCTGCTACATGGTGAGTTTGAGTCTGGCTAGGGCTACATGAGACCCTGTTTTAAACAACAACAAAAACAAAAACAAAAACAAAAAATTCAGAACATCATCACCTCTCAATTTCCAAACTTGAGCTAGTTCATAGCCTTAGAATTCCTTGAATAAAGGAGAGAATAAAGGAGAGACCAGAACTCCTCAAAAGAGGACCCTGGTATACTGTTGAAATTTGATTTTCTTAATTTTCCTCCCAGTCCTTAACAAAGGTACCTGTGTCCTCTTGTCAAGGTAATCATGCATTGAGATCAAGAAAATAAGCAGATCTATGAGAGAACTACTAGACACTGGCTCTAAACTGACCCGGGGTCTAGAAGGTTGAAAACATCTCTGTAACCTTCCAGTCAGAGCTGAATCTTATGGAATTAAAGGGGCTAGTGGAGATTTTAAAATTCGTGTTATGGGGACTCAGGAAGTACCCAAGCCCTCCCTGTAGTTTCTTTTCCAGGTTCTAAAAAGCATACTTGAAATAGTCCCACTTGATCTAGAGCGATTGCTTGGTGGTTAAGAGGACCTCTTCCAGAGGACCCTGGTTCCATCCCCAGCACCCACATGGCAGCTCACAACTGTCTGTAACTCCCATTCCAGAGGATTTGGCACCCCCATGCATGCATACATGCCAGCAAAACATTAATGCACATAAAAAAATAAATCTTTTTTTAAAAAAAGAAAAAGAAAGAGTCACACTTAGCTGCCAACACAATCTCTAAATTCATTCCCTGACCTGTGATGGATGAGGGCTATTAAGGTAGAAACGGCCAATGGAAGCCATTAAAACTGCCTCTGCTTAAGAAAATGGTTCATCAAAAGCAATTGTACCTTCCAGAAGGATGGCAGGTGTTAGTACCATTACCAAGGGCTTGGAAGAGTCCAGTTGATGATTTCCATTGCATTCTCATCCAATGCTTACACAGCTCATGAAGAAAACAGATGGGTCATTAGAAAATGGCAGTGGATTGTTGTAAACATAGTCACGTGGCGGCCCGATTGCTTCTGGTGTTTCAAATGTGGTATGATAAGTTGAGCAAATTAACACATCGCATAGGACCTCGAACGCAGCTGGGAGGCTGGCAAGTACATGTTAATCCATCCCTGTTCAAAAGCCTGCTGATTGGGATCAGTTGGCAAGCGAAACAGTACACCTTCACGGTGCTAGTCTCAGAGCAAATCAGTCTGCCAGACCTGTGCTATGAGTTTGTTCTCAGAGATTTTGATATCCTTTCCCTAATACAAGACATCACACTGGTCCTTTGCATTGATGACACCCTACTGACTAGACCTGGTGAACAAGAAGTAGAAACTATTCTAGACTTATTGCTAAAACCCTTGTGCATTAGGAAATGGAAAATAAAAGCTGGGGAGAGAGTTCAGTGCCTGAGTTTGGACTCTTCAGAACTGACATAAAAGCCACATATGCTGATATATACCTGTAAACCCAGCACTGGGGGAATATGGAGACAGGAGGATTCTTGGGGCTGGCTCGCCAACCTGTTTAACCAAAATAGAAAGATCTGGGCTCATTTTCCTGTCTCAGAAAAGTAAGATGGAGATCAATAAAGAAAGTCAACTAGTGCTAGTCTCAGGCTTCATACATGCAGGCACAGGTATGTACACGTGGGTATACATGCACACACACACACACACACACACACACACACAGGCATACATGAGGCCCTGTCTCCTAAAAGTTTCAATCCTGGCCAAGGGTGTCACAGGCTGACAACCAAGCTTTTAATACACAGCCTTAAGGAGATACTTCAGATCAAAACTCTTAACACATGAGTCCAGTCACTAAGAGGTGAGATTGAAGATGGCTCCACACCTGACTGCACCTAGTAACCCAATGTCAAAGCCATGGCTTTGTGCTCTGACATCAGATTGGCCTCCAGAG